TTTTTTTTTTTTTTTTGAAAAGTTAGTTTTCTTAGTTGGAGTTCACAATAATTTAAGTCAGACATGTAAATTTAATCCATTAAGATATATTTTTACTAAAATTGAGAGCACTCTGTATGCCTTTAGGATGAATTTTTCATAACCATTTCAGTTTTCTTCACCTCTTTTTCTTAAAAGTCTCTGCTGAGACCTTTAGTTTTCTCTGTATAGCGAATCCTAGGCACTAAAAACAATAATATGGCACCCATTTTTCTCCCACCTCTAGCATTTCTTATTTGCTGCTTTTATTTTGTCTGTGGGCTTGAAAGAATGATCAGGATGTGTACTTAAAGGATTCACCTGTGAATAAAGGGTATGACATAAATAAAAGTTATGACATCTGCTTTGGCCATTCAAGAGACTGACTTGCCTACTAAGAGTGTTTTGGCTTAGAGGAACATTTCCAAGTAGTTGATGTTCCCATATGAGGGATTTCTTCTAGATAAGTAAGATGTTACTAAATATTCTTTCTACAACATATATAATCAAGAGAAAAAGAAAGGTTAAAATTATGGATCATATCCTTGGCATTTTTGGCAAGCACATTCCACATACATTATCTCCTTTTAAATCCCTACCATAGCTGGATATAATAGGTGTTGAATAAATTGTAGTTTATTTCCAAATCATTGCTAACAAGGGATGATGGTTGAGTATCCTGTGTAGAAAACATCCTGTATGCTGTATTTCTTAATGGTTTTCTCTAGGATTTTTTTTCTTTAATTCTGTATCCAGAAGTTTAAAAGCTAACGCTATGTACCATTATAAAGTCGTTTCTCCCTTCCTCCCAAAAAATGTGAACCAAATCAGAGTAGACTTTGGAATAATTGTTTCAATTTTAGAGGAGAAAATAAGATGGTAATAAGTTCATTTTACTCTTCCCTGCCTGCTGACACTGTTGCCTCTGACATAAACCCAGTAAGTAGCAGGAGTCTTTTTTTTTTTTTTTTTTGGCTTTTGTGTGAGTCAATTTATGAAAGATTATTTTATTATGGACCTAATATGGACTTAATTTTTTCCAGTAAAAATTAAGATAGCTTTGATTTTCCTGAGAAAATCATAACAGATTGCTGACTTTTCTTCAATATAAAGATGTCTCAAAATTAAGTTGAATATTTCTAGGTATATATTAATATATGGTGGTACTAAGAAGTTATTACAGCTTAGGCTTTATCACAAAACCAGAGGTCAGAAAGACTATATGCTATTTATTGTACTAATATACTTTGATTTTACTGTTCCCCAATTTTTGGCCATTTTTTTCAAAATATCTGATTTCCAGGGTACCTGGGTGGTTCAGATGGTTAGGCGTCTGCCTTCAGCTCAGGTCATGATCTGAAGGTCCTGGGATCGAGCCCCACATCAGGCTCCCGGCTGGCTCAGCGGGGAGCCTGCTTCTCCCTCTGCCTCTGCCTCTCCCCCTCCTTGTGCTCTCTCTCTGTCTCTCTCTCTCAAATGAATAAAATCTTTAAAAAACAAAACAAAAAAAAACCCCAAAATATCTGATTTCCTGTATGTGCCAGGCACTGTTTTAGGCACTGAGGAAACAGTGGTAAGCAAGGAAGAAAAGGTCCCCATCTATCTGTAACTTACATTCTAATGGGAAAGGACAAGCTGAAAGCAACAAGATACCATATAAATATAAAGGAAATTAATGGGGGAGGGAGATGTGATAGTGATGAGGAAAGCCACCTGTGAGGAAGGAATAGGTAAGCCAGCCTGAAACATGAAAAAGCAGGTTGAAGGTAAGGTATGGGTAGGTGTCTGGGCAGAGTGAGTAACAAGTATAGAGCCACTGAGGCTCTTTTTGTTGTAACAAATGCAAGGGTAGCTAATATATGAGATATAGGAGTGGAGAAGGTGGGGAGAGTGGCAAGAAAAAAAATTAAGGTAGATCAAGGGACAAATCTGGTAAAGCCTTTATATAGTTCATGATAATGATTCTAGATTTTTTTCTTTTTTTTTTAAGATTTACTTATTTTAGAGAGCACAAGCTAGAGGGGCAGAGGGAGAGAATCTCAAGCAGACTCTGCACTGAGCATGGAGCCTGACGCGGGGTTCGATCTCATGACCCTGAGATCATGACCTGAGCTGAAAACCAAGAGTTGGATGCTTACCCAGCTGCACCACCCAGGCGCCCCAGGATTTTATTCCTAAGTGCTTTTTATTCAGCAAATAACTAGAAGCACTAGAATGTGTGTTTGGATATAGCAGGGAACAGAAAAATGATCTCAACCCTCATGCAATTTAAAATCTATTAGAGGGCGCCTGCGTGGCTCAGTCATTAAGCGTCTGCCTTCGGCTCAGGTCATGGTCCCAGGGTCCTGGGATCGAGTCCCACATCAGGCTCCCTGCTCAGCGAGAAACCTGCTTCTCCTTCTTCCTCTCCCCCTGCTTGTGTTCCCTCTCTTGCTGTGTCTCTGTCAAATAAAATCTTTAAAAAAAATAAATAAATAAAATCTATTAGAGAAGCCAGAGTCTAGAAGCACTTCTTTTAATTTCCCCACTATGGATAATATTTGTATGAACTTTCTCAAATCATTTCAAAAGGTTAACATATTACTCTCAAATCAATTGTAAGCTATACAATTTTCCACTTTTTTAATATAACTGAAATTGGGGTAGGTCTTGCAAATGATCATACTTATTGTTGCCAATGGCAATAATCCTGATACCGTTCTCATCATCTGTACATGTGTGAATTTGGTTGCTATTCCCGGTGGCATGACTAGGCAATTGCATCCCCTTGACATTTCCATCAACAAATTGTTTTAAAGACCATTCATGGAAGGAATTCAAGTCCTGGTTGTCTGAAAACAATCTACTGACTCCTTTTGGTATGATAAAGAAAACACCATCATAACTTTATCAGTGGCTTATAAGAAAATATTGAGACCTATATACTGGAACAATTTTTAAACAAATGCTGGGTTACTGATGCTTTAGATGGCACAGAGGACAGTATTGTGTAGAAAACCACTTAGCTGAATTAACTAATTCAGAAGAGTTGGATTCTGAATGTGAAGTTTTAGAACTACCTTAACCACTTTATATGATTTATCTTTTAGAAATATAAATATTATACATGTTAGAAGAGCTCTTTCAGTAAGTATCAAGTAAAAATGCTAACTGATCAAGCATTTGGCCGCTTAATTGGCAAGATTTTTTTCTTAGTTTTATATGAAATAGTTACGTGTATTTGTGTCTTCCTACATTACACCAACTCACCACTATATCACTTTTTTCACCTTTTTTCAGTTGGTGGGGGAAATTGTACAATTGGAAGTTGGCTAGGGGGGTGCGGGATGGAAATATCAGAAATAATTGGCTTTTTAAAAAAATTTTTTTAAAGATTTATTTATTTATTAGAGCACAGGGGGAGGGGCAGAGGGAGAGAGACAGCCAGAATCTGCAAGCAGACTTCCCAAATGGGACTTGATCACCAGGACCCTGAGATCATGACCTGAGCCAAAAGCAAGAGTCAGCCGCTTACTCCACTGTACCACCCAGGCGCCCCAGAGATAATTGACCTTTTAACTACAAAGAACACTGGTGTAAATGATCTTCTTCTTTTTCTCTTTGGCACCGATAAGCATTTATTCATGATAGCCTTCTGGGTATTTTACATTTGCTTAACTCCAAATGTATAAGAAGACTTAAATTATACTGATTCCTGAATTCCAAACTTTCTTTTTAGGAGGATGGTCATAAATAAGGTTAAGACCACAAAAATCTATTACTTGTGACTGTTTACCAAGTAGAGTCTATTTTTACAGTCTTATTGGTTAAAAGTTTGTCCTTTAGACATTAAAAAATCTTTGAAGTTTACATTGTAATAATTTGGAGACATCTACTTTGACAGTTTTGATGTATTGAGTATTTTACTACATTTAAAAAATATAATGAACTTACGTAATACACATATTTTGTATCTTTCTCATTTTCCCACATTAAGTTCTTTATAAACATTTTTCAAGTCAAGTTTAATGTTCTCTTTTTTGTAAGCTCATGTTTGTGGATTTTGATTCGTGAATTTAACTTGAGAACAGTTTTCTATTTCTTTTGCAGTTATTTGACCACAGCAGAATGAAACCGTTTATTCACTTTAGCATCAAATAGAGCTTTTTCTTTTACGTATTAATCTATTTGTAGTTACTCTCATTTGAAAAACAACCTTCTACTTTACAGTGTTCACATATTACAAAGCAGTTTTGAACACTAATATGCTGTTTATTAAAAAAAAATAGAATAAGGAAGACACTCATGTTACCAATTATATATTTTCTATCCAGGATAAAATGCAAGTTGACCAAGAAGAAGGAGGGCATCAAAAATGTCATGCTGAACACACCCCAGAAGAGGAAATCGATCATACAGGAACCAAAACAAAGGTGTGTTTTACTATTTTTGAGGTTGTGTCTCTTTAAGATTGATATTTTGAGTAATGTACTTACTTTTTATTGCATGCTTTTAATACACTTGATATTTTAAATCTTAGTACTCTGGGAAAGTATGGAAGCATATAACCAGAATAAATACAATTCGATTAGCTATAATAGAGGATTTTTAAAAGAATGAACCCCTAACAATATAAGTAAAATTATTTCTTTGGTAGGAAAAAGAAGATGCATTTTTCAGTAATCTTTTGTCTCATTAAAAACCATATAATCCCAGAAAAATAGGAAATGCAATAAGCTAAATGTAGAAAACTTAAATTGGCAGTAACATCACATCTCTGCATATCATAAAATATTTTCCTTTGTGCAAAAGTAAATATTTTTGTGGGTAAAACTTTAAAGGATAACTCTTTTATTGAAAGTCATTATTTTACTGAGACAGTCATTGCCAATAAAAGGGAGAGACCCCAACCCAGTCACCCAGATGAATGTGGCTGAGTTTTAAATACCATCTTCAACAGGTTTTCTTTTTTTTTTTTTTTTGTGTTCCCTCTCTCACTGTGTCTCTCTCTGTC